CTACCCCTGGTCTAGATCGAGGGAAGTAATATTACCACTCTCTTCTGCTTTGGTCAGATCTCAGCTGGAATACTGTGTCCAGTTCTGGGCACCACGATTCAAGAAGGATATGGACAAGCTGGAGTGTGTGCAAAGGATGGCAACCAAAATGGTGAAGTGCCTGGAGACCACCAAGCCCTATGAGGAGTGATTTAGGGAGCTGGCGATGTTTAGGGAAGAGAAGGTTAAGGGGTGATATGATAGCCCTGTTTATCTATTTGAAGGGATGTCATATTGAGGATGGAGCAAGCTTGTTTTCTGCTGCTCCAGAGAATAGGACCCAGAGAAATGGATGCAAAGTACAGGAGAAGAGATTCCACCTCAACATTAGGAAGAACGTCCTGATGGTATGAGTTGTTTGATGGTGGAAGATGCTGCATTGGAGGGTGGTGGAGTCTCCATCTTTGGAGGCTTTTCAATTTGGGGCTGGATGGTCATCTTTTGGGAGTGCTTGCATTGTGTCTTCTTGCATGGCAGCAGGGGGATGGACTGGACGCCCTTTGTGGTCTCTTGAACCTATGATTCTATCATTTTATCCCTCTCTAGCTAGTAAAGTAATACTAAATTACTACTAGTAGGGCCAATGCAAAATGAAGAGAGCAATTCCATCCTTACCATTAATGCAGGGCAAGGGGATAGCTGGGGTTGGATTATTCAGCAATGACAGCTTGTTGCAGTTCTTTTCAACAACGGCTGCAAACAGACAGATGGAGGCCTTGGTAAAGACGGTGCTTGACCTACAACAGCCCTATGAACCAGGCCTTTTGTAAAAGCTTCTCACTATCCGACTCATTTACGGTTAGTGGTTAAACTGTGGCAGGTTCAGAGGAATCTGAAAAGGTACAGGATGTGGTACTGGGCACACAGTCTTAGCATACAGATGGTGAGAAAGTTTGTGGCAACTTCTGGTGAAATCTGAAAAGCCAGAATTGCAGTTGAATCAGAGCTGCGTGATCTTTCGACTCTTTTCTCTCTAGCCAAAGGAGGAAAAGAACAGATAAATCCAACCGAACATTGCAGAGCTCAGTGTTCTTAGTGCAAAATCAAGGCTGTGCCTTGATAGGATTGTGACATTTTCTTTTGGTTTCATTCTGGTGCACAACAGAGCAAAGAGAGCTCCGATGCCAGTAAGGAACAAGGCAGCATCTCATGAAATGCTGCAAGACTTGGCTCCAATCCTGGAAAGCACTTAATCATGCACTTCAACTATGCACCTAATTTTATTTACGCTTTCAGCTAATCATATGCTTAAATGGAGGCACTAGGCAGATTGTTATGTAACATGCACTGGCCATGCAAGAAAGCCATGCTGGAATGAGGAACCAGATACCAAAGCACAACATGATCTCCATCAGGGCCTTCCAGATGCTTCTGTTTTGCAACTTCCAGGATCCTTTACCATTGGCTTTGTTGGCTAGGGATGATGGGAGTTGCAGGACTAAAACATCTGGGAGGCCACAGTTGCTCATTCCTGAACCACATTATAAAGCCACCACAATTATTTGTGTGTGTACGTGTATGTATGTATTATATATATATTGCCAGCTCATGATGATATATCGTGCCAGCTATATATATATATATATATATATATATATAATTAGCTGGCATTGACTAGAAGATGTATTACAACAAATTTGAGTCCTGCCCAAATTTTTGAGAGAGAGAGGAGATTGGAGCCCTACCCAAATCCTTGAAACAGCATGTATATATGTATATATGTGTATATGTGTATATATATACACACACAAACATAAATGCTGTATCAAGAATTTGGGTAGGACTCAGATTTGTCATTGTTGTAATATATCTTCAAGTCAATGCCAGCTCATGGCAACCTTCTGATAACATTTTCCAGAACAAGATTTATCCAGCAGAGGTTTGCTGTGGCCTTCCTCTAAGCTAAGGCAGTGGTCCTAAAATTCTGGCCTTCCAGATGTTTTGGACTTCATCTCCCAGAATCCCAAACTACTGGCCAAGATTGCTGAGGCTCCAGGGAGCTGAAGTCCAAAACGCCTGCCGAACCCAAGTTTGGGAATCACTCCTCTAGGGCAATGGTTCCCAACATTTGGTCCTCCGTTTGTTTTGGATTTCAGCTCCCAGAAGCCCCAGTCAACTTGGCCCACAGTCAGGAGTTATGGGAGCTGAAGTCCAAAGCATCTGGAGGACCAAAAGTTGGGACCACTACTCTAGGGCCAAGAAAGTGTAAATTGCTAAAAATCAAGGAATCCAAACCAAAAGCAGATTGATTTTCACGTGACGTTGAGCATTAACCCAGACAGAAAGTGGACAGAAAGTGGACAGAAATCTGCAAAAGCGGATTGATTTTCACATGACGTCGGGGTTAATGAGCACAATGTGACATTAACCCGGACAGAAAGTTGACAAAATTTGTTTCTTTTTACTTTCGAAAAATCCTGAAAGTAAAAAGACATGCATTTTGTCAACTTTCTGTCTGGGTTAATTGCTCATTAACCCCGATGTGTGTGAAAATCAACCCACATTTACAGTGTTTTTGGTGTGTGTGTGTGTGTGTGTTTAAATCCCATTTCTGCATAGGATTTGGGCACTTTGCCCTGGTGTGATAAATTCCCTTGGTTACACTGGCTGGATCTCCTCAAGCAGATTCCTGACTTACATCCAAGTCTCAGAAGAAGGCAACAGCAAGCCTCCTTTGAATAACAGGATACAAATCCCAGGATTCCATAGTATGCAGCCACAGCACTTAACGTGGTGTCAAATTGCATTACTTCTACAGCACAGATCCATCCTAAACCTATTGATTAAACATGCAGTCCTCCATAGTCAGTGATCCTCATACATATGTAGCAGCCGAAACGACAACGGCCCAAGTAATGTTCCCTTGGAAGCAATGCAACCAAGTGAACGACGCAAGGAATTGACTGTACAACAGTCTAATATCCCAGTGCATTTTCAGCTCCATTACCTAAATAATTTGCTTTCCAGGGCACCCTAAAGTGATTCATGATGATTCAAGTATTATTCCCTTAAATCATCTGAAGCTTACGACAACATTTTGGGCTAGGCACCAGATTCTCCATGTGGAAAGGAGCATCCCTGCAAAAGACACAAACAATTTCTGGTGCAACTGTCGTCTATCCATGCATAAATGTTGTGAGTGTTTAGTAGGCTGCATGATTCAGTTTCTGTGTTATGGCTGAGAAAGATAGATAAAGCGGAAAGTTGACCGGAAGAGAATAATCTTGGAGAAAGAGGAGTACTGGCAGTAAGGAAACCTCTTTCCTCTTGGAAAGGTTGCCCATGTGGATGGTGGGACATTAACTTCTAGGCTTACAAGGTATTTTCACAGACCAATTGTTCTCCAGCAACAGAGGCAAACATCTGTTCAAACAGCTTTGGAAAGAGTAAGTCCCCAGTCAGAAACACATGTACTAATGATGGCATTTATTGGCCATTTGCCATTCAGGCAAGGCAAAAGAAATGTATTTCCAAGTATAAAGTTTGGAAAGAATTAGAATATCACTCAGGATAGCACATTAGTACAGGTTAAGTCTTAATCCAGAACTCCAAAATATTCCAAAAACCAAAATTTTTTTCCTGGGTGGCTGAAAAGAGTAACACCTTTGCTTTCTGATGGTTCAGCGCACACAAACGTTGTTTCGTGCACAAAATTATTTAAAATATTGTATAGAAAATGATCTTCAAGCTATGTTTATAAGGTCTATATGAAACATAAAATGAATTCTGTGTCCCATTTCCAAGATATCTCATGATGCATATGAAAATATTCCAAAATCGGTAAAAAAAAAAAAAAAAGTACGGTAAATAAATACAAAATCCAAAACCCTTGTAGTCCCCAGCATTTTGGAGAATGGAGGTTCAGCCCTGTACCATCAATTCTGCATCATGATAAGTGTCAATAGAGAGGCTAAAATGGCAGATGTTGATTCCAGAAGGGATCTAACACCAGCAGTAATTAGTTGCTTTTTTTCCTGTTGCTTTATTTAGAGCAGTGGTTCAAAACCTTTGGCCCTCCAGATGTTTTAGACTTCAACTCTCATCATCTCTGACCGTTAGCCGTGTCGACTGGGGCTTTGGGGAGCCGAAGATGACATTTCAGTTTTTCCAAGGACAGAAGGACTCGGATCATGGTTGACAGTGCCATAAGCGGACCCTTTCACAGTCTTCCTTTTAAAAGCAGTGATTGATGTTCTTTGCTTGAAAGACCTGCTGTTTCATTGGAGATCAGCTCCATCAGAAGAGAAAAAGAAGGGGAAAGTAGCACCAATGATGGAAGAACGGATTTATCAACGGATAGCCATGTTGGCCATATAGCAAAGTCCAGCTTCATCCAAAATCCAGAAAACAGAGATAACTTTATTGGGCCAACCCAAATGCACATTATGTATGTTGCAAGCTTCCCAAGCTCCACTGGCTCCTTCCTCAGGCAAAAGTGTTTAAAATGACACAGGAGAAAGAAAGAAAAATATTTTGACAGTGTTAATCACAGCCCTGAATTTGGTCCAGATGTTTGTAATGTTGTACACCGCCCCGATTGCCTAGCAGAGGGGCGGGATATAAATAAAAATTATTATTATTGTTATTGTTGTTGTTGTTGTTGTTGTTGTAGTTCTCTGTTCAGATGGTACAGAAGGGTTTGCATGCAGGTGGGGTCCTCCTCCTTCTGGCCATGTGGATACTGGGCTATTCAGTCCAGGAAACAAACTTTATATTCCATTAGCATGATAAAAAGCTACTTACTGCCTTTGAACTCCAGTTTGTCTCCAATCTTTTGTTCGATTCCCTGCTCAGTCATAAAACCCATTGAGTGACCTTGGGCAGGTCACACCCTCTCAGCCTCAGGGGAAGTCAATGGCAAACCTCCTCTGAACAAATCTTGCCAAGAAAACCCCATAACAGGCTCATCTTAAGGTCACCATAAGTCAGAAATGACTTGAAGGCACACAGAAACAACAACAGCCAGGGTGGTGTAGTGGTTTGATCATTAGACTACGACTCTGGAGATCTGGGTTCAATCCCTGTTTGGCCGTGGACACCCAATGGGTGACCTTGGGCAAGTCACACACTCTCAGCCCCAGAAAACCCAGTAATAGGATCAGCTTAGGATTGCCATAAGTTGGAAATGACTTGAAGGCACACAACAACAACTAACATCTCCTTGACATCCATAAGAAAGGCTCTGACATCTATAGAAACCTCCTGGGTGTTTGATTTGCCATTTAGGACCTCCTTGAGCCTGCTTTAAGCTAGAAAAGTCCTTTTCCCCCTCCAATTCTTCCTGGCAGAATCTCAAAAAAGCACCAATCCACTCACAGCTAGCAAGATGCATTTCAGATACGTTTCACCCGATATTTATAAGCGCTCCATCCCATCCCATCCCATCTTTGATATTACCACTCGCTGGATCTAATCTTTCCAGAACTAATACAAGTGTCAGGCGGCTTATCCAGAGGATGAGACAGGTATGTACTAGCTGAGTGATAACAATCTCACACTGTCAAGAACATCACATGAAAATGGTATAGAGAGATTCCCATTGAATTTGAACGGCAGAAAGGCAGGAAGGGAAATTCTGCCCAAGACCATTAGATGTCAGTGCAGCCAACAGAGTTGCATACATGACAGAGAAACTGATTTTTGGGCAAACAGATTTATTGCTTTCACACGTCAACATGAACTTGACCCCTGTAAAGAGTTGAAAGACCTGTATTGCCTCCCTGAGCCCTTTGAAAAGTTAGGGAAAGGGACACAATTTACATTTTTTCCAGACCCTATTACAATCTGTCCCACTCTCACAATTGGAAAAATACAATGGGTCCTTGGTATCCAGCAGAGTTTGGTTCCAGAACCATCTATGGATGCTCAATAATAATAATAATAATAATCAATAAAATGTATTTATATCTCACCCCTATGCAATGCAATTGGGGCAGCTTACAACATTAAAACTACAATAGAATGCATACAAACCCCAAAAACTCACCCCTCAAGTCCTATTAAATACAATGGTATAATAAAATGGTGCCCCTGATATAAAATGGCAAAATCAAGGTTTGCTTTTTGGAATGTGTGTATGTGTTGCATGCCTTCAAGTCGTTCCTGACTTATGGTGACCCTATCATTGGGTTTTCTTGGCCAGATAACTTATCAAATAAATCAGGTAAGTGTTACCAAAAATTGATGCTGTCATTGTATTGTAATCAACTTCCTTCTAGACTTTGCTAAACTTTCTATTTGATGCGTATCTGAAATATCTCTTTTTGGCAATATTGTTGTAACTTCTTATCGTACCTCTGCCAGAGGTTGACCATAGAGTTGTGCTGGAGAACCTAGAAGTTCCTAGATAAAACACTTCTCTAGGCATTTGTAGGTCCTCCAGCATGAGTCTATGATCAATGCCTGCCCGATGTTGACTACAGAGTTGCATTGGAGGACCTGGAGATTCCTAGGGAGGTGTTCTCTTAGGTTAAAAGAATAGTGGTGTTTTGTTTTTTTTTAATTTTCAGTTTTCCCACATTCACGGGGGTCCTTCATCCCAACTTCCACAAATGTGGAGGGACCACTGTATTTTATGATCTTATCCTCTTATTTTTTGCTACATCAATGAGGTGTCACCCAGTGTGGTCCGCACCTGCCGCATGCCCCTTATGACGCCCCTGCTTTTTCTTTAGCTCTGCTCCTTATTTAGTTCACTTCTCCACTTTCTGTCTTACAAGAATCCAGTTCTGTCACCAGGAGCCTCCATCCAACAACACAACACAACTCTGTGAATCATTCCCTCCTTTGCTTAAAGCCAAAAGCTCTTCAAGCAAGAATTTCATCTTACACTGAAGACGGCTGCCTTAAGGCTTTGGGAATTCCTGAGAATACGAGCGCTCCAACAGGGTTGCACAGAAGCAAAACCAGAAATAATATATTTTTTGAACTTGATCGCCCATAATGTTTCAAAGCCTGGAGTTGGTCACATCACACAGTCCGGACAAAGTGAATGCGCTCATAATCGTTTTTTAAAAACCTCAAATGTCAAAGTGCTTCTCCTTCCTGTCATCCTCTTGCAATGCCATTAAACTACTGAAGGGGATTTTTTTTCTCTCTCTCTCCATTTTTCTCAGCTAACTGCAGGTTACAGCCTGTAAAGTTAAGCTCCAGCCATTAAAATTGATGGGAATGTTCAATCGGAGGAAGCTCAGATGACATCTTGAATCGGATCAACTCTTAAAGTGGAAATGCAGAAGACTGAGAGAGTCAAGTTGTAAAAATGAACCTCTAATGAGCCATGAACAACTTCTTCCAATGAAACAAAGCAGGAGCAACTCCTAAAAATGAACATACTGTAGAGAAGACGTAGAGAGAGAAATGAGATGTTCCAATCCCAGAATTACAGAGTTGGAAAATACCACAAGGGTCATCCAATCCAACCCCATGTCATGGTGGAATATACCATATATACTCATCTACATGTCGAAAAATGTAAGCCCTAAAATAGGCTCCAAAATCCTAGATCAGGGGTAGGCAACCTTTTCCCTTTAAGGGCCGAGGGACTTCAGCTCCCAGAATCCCAGGAGCTATTGGCCAACATGGGACTATTGGCCAACATGGCTGAGGCTTCTGGGAGCTGAAGTCCCTCGGCCCTTAAAGGGGAAAGGTTGCCTACCCCTGTCCTAGACTGACTTATATATGGGTCAATATAGTAATATTGCTCCGTGAGCTTTGGAAAAGCTGGTGGGGAAGGGAGGGAGGAGAGAGAGAAAGGGAGAGAAATCGGAAGTTTGTGTCCCCCTTTTTGCAAGCCGTGAGCCTTGGGAAAGCTATGGGGAAGACAGAGGAATCAGAGGTTTGGATCCCCCTTTTTGCAAGCCATGAGCCTTGGGAAAGTTGTAGGGAAGGGGGGAGGAGAGATATATCTGAGGTTTGTGTCCCCATTTTGCATACTGAGACTGTGACCCTTGGGAGAGTCCAGAGAGGGAGAAGGAGAGAGGGAAGTGGTGTTTCCCCCCTGTTTAGATCCTGTTTAGATCCTATGCCCCTGAGTTTGACCCTTGACTTATCCATGGGTCATATCAAAATCCATGATTTTGGATGCCAAGCCTGCCCTCGGCTTGTACATGAGGTCGACTTAT